TGCAGGCTCCTACCCTGGGGGTTTTTAAGAGGATGTTAGATGAACACCTTGCTGGGGTCGTTTGACCCCAGTACTTTCCTGCCATGGCAGGGGGTCAGACTCAATGATCTGCTCAGGTCCCTTCCAACCCTAGAAACTATGAAACTGTAAAAAGGAATGATTCAACTTCAAGCTTCCAAAAGAGTTCAAAGCACCCCATACAAGGCCTCCTGCATATGTCCCACTCTCCAACTATGGAGGGGCATATACTTCTTTCAGCACTGGGACCCAAAGTTGAATTAACTTCTCCACAGAGGATTTCCACTGCTGACTTCTGTAGAAATAGTCCTGCCTGGGATCTGTCAGCTATGGAGGGACCAGCACTGGACAGAGGAGGAAAGATCTGGGGAAAAGCAGGGCCATACTGTATGGCCTTTTGGCCCAGGATTTTCATAAACTGTGTTTAACAAACAATTCATTTTAAATTAGAAAAAATCTCCTTACAGTATCGCACAACTGCTTTCCCTCTAACACACAAGGGACCCTAAGTGATTTCCTTGCATGAAAGCTGCAGCTAAAGAGCATTTCTGTGTGGAAATTATACACTTGCAAGGATACAAAGTGTTCATTGGTTTCAATCTTGGGCAGATCTCTGTTCTGGCCTGAACCTGCAGAGAGGGACCTGGTTTCACATAAAGGATCTATGCAGTATTCATTTGGGATGACATGCATAGTAGTGAGCAGATTCTGAACTCGCAGTTGTTTGGAGTTCAGCTGTTGTTCCAAGGAATTAGATGGAGAAAATTATGAAAATTCAACAGATGATGAAAAAACAATACTGCATAGTGCTATAGAAATTAGAAATGGAAAACCATAGGTAAAATTCTTTTAGATTTTGAAGCAGAGTAAATAAGGTGCTATGGATTTCTAAAACTGATTACTTCATAAAGGGAACAGGTGTTTTTGTTTTGAATAAAAGGAAAAAATATTGTCTATGTATATGATAGACTGAAAAAATATTAGACTACATATTCTGCTCTCATTAACCTTAAAACTCACCTCCTTACAATTTAATTATAAAAACCATAAGGGAAAATAACTATAATTAAATGTTTATAGTAAGGAACAAGACAAAGGTACTCATGCTTAAATTATCCTACTTGTTTACCTAAACACATAACCCTTAAAAGTTAAATCAAATATAAGGCATGGCAGGATGGATATAATGTATAATCACTGCAGTAACTTACTCCAATTTAATCAGATATGCTAAACTTGATTTATCTGACATTTTATTATACCTTATTCATTACTGCCCCTAATAATGTAGGAAAATGTTATAGTCGAGCTAAAGGAATGCAGCAATATTTACTATACAGAATACATGACTGCCTATTATAGAGTTTACCAGTGCTTTTTGCTCCACAGAAATGCTACCAAATCAGATAATAATGACTCAGCATACTGAATAAATTCTGCAGACAGTGTAATTTGTAAAATGTAGTTCTACAGTACTTGATGGCCTCTTATAGACACTCTTTTGGTGTATCATAATTACTGTTCAAGCAGAAACACAGGGGGAATAATAGTGACATATAGTTTTATCTATTTTTTATTCATATGCAATAAGCCAACTGGGTATCACCAGGGAGTGAGCTTTTATATACTTTTGATCCTGAAATAAAATTTAATAAATGACACTAAAGAAAGCTCAACAGTTTCTTGTTGAAGTTTCCACTGGAAAGCAGGTTCCGCTGATCAGTCATGCCTGTAGGAAATCTCTAAACAAAGGGATGAAATGTTATCATCTTCAAGCAGCAGATGTCTGAAAATGCAAATACCACCATGGCAAATCTGATTAACATCCCTGAGGTCACAGACAAAGCAATGTATAGCAACTTAAAAATTTACATTTTCAAACTAGAATGAGAATTAAAATGTAATGAAGAAAGATACTAACACAATCTATTGCACAGACAATGTTCAGAACTCCAAAACATTTAGCAAACATGAAACACGACACCGAGACCTACATGTTTACAACATTCAGGGCTTTCTAATTATTCTATACGAATAACCAACAGAATATAAATATTTTCTCCACGATTCTCCTTCACTGAATTTATTATGGAATAATAATTCATTCAGAAGTATATTCTCTTCTTAACATGTGCAGGTTAGAACTGAAAATACTAAGAGGAATGATGCACACATATCAAAGTGGAGACCAGGACACAAGAATATCTAACCACAAAAAATATTATTAAACTAAGGGGATTTGCCTTTCCCATAGTTATCAAAATATTTAAATGTGGGAAAAATGAAGCTAAATTTTCAAAATATTACAATAAAATCTCTCTTCTCCAGTATGAGTGGGGAATGCTAGGTGTCAGTTATGTAAAAATCCCAGTTATCTGAG